GAGCTGCCTCGCGGCACAGCCGCCGTTTGCCCCAACACAAACATGTCAATTTCACACCTGAAGCTGCGGGGCTGCATCTTGACTTGCGGCTTCGCCTGATTTCCTCCGCAGTTTCGTGATCCTGGTTTTTGAGGATCACGAAACTGCGGAGGAAATCAGGTGAAGCCGCGGGTCAAATGCAGCCCCGCAGCCTCGGGTGTGAAATTGACCAATAGTATCGGGGCAAACGGCGGCTGCGCCGTGAGGCAGCTCTAGTGCGAAATCACCCCTTGTTTTATTTCCTCCTGGGGAATTTCTGACTGCAGAAACACGGTGCAGGAACAAGAAGTTAACTGCTCCTTCTCTAGAGCTCTGCCCAGTTCCTTATCCCCTACTTGGTTGCTCTTCACAGCTAAAATACTTGGGAATCTGATACCAAACATCATCTGTGGTTTGGTCAACAGTTAGCCATTTTTATAGAAACATACCCCATATCGAAATAGGGATACAAAGAAATTAGAGGAGCTAGGACCCAAGGGGACCTTTGTGTACCATAAGATCTTGAGGACCACTCTTGGCACAGTCGGTGGCCTTTGAATGCACTGTGCAGGCCTGACTTTAAAGGTCTTCAAACCATTTACATTCATCACGATCAGTACTAAAAGACAGGCCCGTCATCTACAATAATCCCTTAATAATTCACCGCACTTTGTCAGTTCGAAGAACACAGATGGCAAAATAAAACTTACTTTCCTATTAGGGGAATGGAATCTGGAAAGTACATTCTGAAGAAATCCAGCACTTGGTCCCCTGTTGTGAGCTTTTCAAAATCCTCAAAAGGCATGAAGAGAGTGCACGTGAACGATTTATCCTACGGATTAAAAATAAAAATAAAAGGCAGAATGTTAGGGAATGAAATCACTGGCTGTTTCTTATCTTGATGTTCCTGGGGTACCTATATCCACCCGACATGAGGTTATTGTATATTGTGCCATCGACTGTTTTATTAGTTTTATTGTTTTGTGGATTTTATGTTGTAAAATGCCCTGAGTCCACTCATGGGAGAGGGCAGGATATAATTATGAAGATGATGATGATGATGATGATACTTTCCTGAAATGTAGCTGAAATAATTTCCCTGCATTGTTATAGTCAGCACTATGGTAGTGCCACGTGCTCTAAGGTGTTGCTGATTACCTGTGTCTGTGTCATGATTTTTCCCTCTCTCTTCTGTTGCATCACATTTTTCCCACCCCCACCTTTTCCATATATTCAGGGGGGTGGACTACCCTAGTGCTGACTCTTTTCTATGTATACCTGAGCCGTCCATTGGTGCTTTGAGCATTGCATATTGGGCCTAAGCAGGCAGATATTGCACCGTTTGGGTTTTCTTTCCAGTTAACTACATACCTCTTTTCTAAAATGTAGGAGACTTTTTAATTTGCAGTTGTTTAGTCATATGCTTTATGTGCATTTTGGATCCATGGGCCTGTGAAATATCATACATCTTGATGAGTTGCCCATGTTGCACCTCAAGAATATTTATCACCACTTACGCCACAGGTGAACGTCTCACTTTGAGTAAAGTAGTTCTCCTATTTCCATATATTTCAAAATATTATTTTTTTAAAAAATTGTTGCTTAACAGACATATAGATAATTATTTTTCTCTCCACCCCCCTTTCATTTTAGGTCCATTCTGAATATGACAAGTTTTATGTATATTTTTGTTAAATTTATGGAGCGCTCATTTTGAATTTTACCATCGAGGAAGGCTTTCAACTGAAACGTGTTTGGTATTGGTTCTTGTATCTGGATATAATTTGCACACAGAAGCTTATCAGGGGTGGCCAACCAAAGTGCGGCTCGGGATCCGCATGCGGCTCTTTCACACCTATTGTGCGGCTCCCAGCAGGGTAGCTGGGGAAGCTAAGTATCATTAGCAAACAAATATCATTGGACAAATAAACATCGTTATCAATATCTGCTTTTACTCCTTTTGTTATTATTTTTGGCAGTCTCATTTAATCTTAATAAAAAGCAAATTGGCATATTTACCAGTAAAAACGTGTAATATTTGTTCATGCCTTGCGGCACTCAAACATCTGACGTTTATTCCATGTGGCTCTTACGTCAAGCAAGTCTGGCCACCCCTGCCCTAAATAAAACTTTGTTGGTCTTAAAGGTGCCACTGGACTCAAACTTTGTTCTGCTGCTTCAAGCCAACATCTACGTGGGACTCCTGGGAGAAGGAATCCAGAGACATTCCGTACAGTGTCATCAGTTATATTTCTGCTTTTCATTGTGTCCAGGTGAGGCTACAAAAGCCGAGTAAACTCAAACTCAATCCAGACAAAATGAAAGAAGTGCTAGTGGAAGGCATGGATGACCAGAGGGAATGGGAAAGGCTTTTCTTAGATGGAATCATAGTTTCCTTGAAGGATCAAGTTTGCAGCTTGAGGGGTGATCCTGCATCCTTTTCAGGACTCCTAGATTCCAAGATAGTGACAGTGACTCTTGGCATCTTTTTTTGAGCTTTGTCCGATTTGCCAGCTTCACTCTCTTCTAGAACAGCAAGACCTTGCCACTGTCATCCATTGGTGATGACCTCCAGTCAGTGTTCCCTCTAAGCTGAGTTACTGTGAGCCAGCTCACAGTTTTTTAGCCTCTGGCTCACCCATTTGTGTCTTAGCTCAGGAAGGATGGCTCCAGAGCAAACTAACTTATGTAGTAGCCAAATCGCTGGCTCACAACTTTAATGCCAATAGCTCACAAAGTAGAATTTTTGCTCACAAGACTCCACAGCTTAGAGGGAACATTGCCTCCAGTAATACACTCTCAGTGAGACGACCCTTAAACACAATTTGGAAACTTCAGCTGATGTAGAATGCTGTAGTAGCCAGGCTTCTGTCTGATGCTATTACTGTAGTCAAGAACACATTATGCCAATACTAAAGCACCTGCTTTAGTATTAGTCAGAGGACGGCGGAAGACAGGAAGGCCAGGCGTGATCTGGTCCATGGGGTCGCGAAGAGTCAGACTCGACTGTGCGACTGAACAACAACAACAACAACAACAACAAAGCACCTGCACTGTTTTCCTGTTTGTTCCTGGGCAACTTTAACATGCTGGGTTTGGCATACAAAGACCTACCTGGCCTGGACCTGTCTTCTTCTTCTCCCATTCAATCCCTTATGACTTGAGGTCAACTGTTTCATTTTGCAGAGATGTCATGTGGTGCAACACTTTCTCTTTGGCTGCTCTAGTGCCCTGGGACATCCTGCTTGCCCCATTTTTATAGGCAACCCATCAAGATGTGAGTGCTTTCACCCTGCCCTGGATAGCCCAGAGGCAAGCCTGATCTTGTCAGATCTCGGAAGCTAAGCAGGGCTGACCCTGGCAAGTAATTGGAAGGGAGACCTCCAAGGAATACCAGGGCAGGGAGGCAAAGGCAGACAAATATCAAGCCACCTTTCTGAAACGTCCTAACCCCAGTAGGGGTCGCCAGAAGTCACCATGCCTTCCAGGCAGGGGTCATTTCGTAGAAAAAGAGGTGCAGGAGCTCATTAGCATAATTCATTAGCATAACTTATTTGCATATGCCACACCCCCTGACATCACCAGAAGTGTGTTAAAAGGCAACACCCACCACTCAGGCTCCACTGGACTGTTTTGGATTGCTAGCTATTGAGGGAAGGGGGGAGGATATAGATCTGTCCTTGCAGAGGAGGGAGAGCTTGTACCTGAATAAACCTTGGTCTTAAAGGTGCCACTGGACTGTTTTGGACCGGGGGGGCCGGGGGGAGCTCTGCAACTTACCTGGCTGCTTCTTGCTCTGACTGAGGGCTGCTGGGAGCAGAGGGTGGGGCTTGTTGCATGTGCCCGCCCCCTGGGCTCTTTGCTGCCGGAGCTCCACTGCTGTGCGCTCCTGCAGGAAATGACCCCTGCTTCCAGGCATGCGCGCGCACACACACCAAAAAATATCACTAAAAAAATACCCCCCAAAGAAAAAATGAAGTGAACGTGTTCTAATTCCTGATGGTGTTTTGAATGTTTTTACATCACTGTTACCTAGCTTAAACTCTAATAGAAATCTTCAGTTGTTTTAAAGAACTATATATATTTGTTTTTAATTGTCAAAGAACATATATATTTTAAATTGTCAAAAAACATACCACTTCAGCACATAGATAAAACAAACTTCCGGGTCAATCTTGAAATTATCACCAGATTTCAGATTATGCATTACAGTGAAAAGACATCGTTAACGAGGCATTACTCTTATTCATACCAGGTTGGGAAGCGCGATCATCATGAATGTGTTCCTGGGCCAGATGTGAAGAAAATTCGGTTTCATTGCGAACTGAAAGGAGATACAAAGGGAAAGATTAGAAAGGAAACCACAAAGGTGATAAATGTAAGGAAGTCAAGTGTGTTGATCCATCAACTGGAAGCAGAAGAAAGCAGAGATTGCTGAGGGAAGCTGTTACCAAAACTTACGTCTCCATTCTTTGGGGGAATTGTCAATTCCATGTATCCATGAGGAATATACTCTTGGCTGTAATTGAAACGTGTTTGCCTCATGAACTGCTTCCTGACTGTGGAAAAGGCTCCATCACAACCCACAATTAGGTCACAAGTGACCTCTTTTGATCTTAGGTCTGACCTAAAAAGATAGATGGAAATATCATCGGCTTATTTATTTGGATAGTCTTCATGCAGCGTCTAGATGAACACTTGTCAGGGATGCTTTAGTCTGTGCTCACACACACTAAATAATCTACTTTCGGTCCACGTTCAGTGCACTTTCCAACTGGATTTTGCCACTTCACACAGGCCCATTCTGCATCTAGCATTTGCTCTGCTGTTTTACCAAACCCATGCTGGAACAGAAACTCCCCTCTGCATTGCATGCCATTTTCACTTTCGTTGATTGTCAGATTTTATGGTAGCCTCCACACTGCATGCCAGTTTCACTTCCTTTGATCTCTCAGTTTTATGGTACTGTCTGCAAAGATTTATGGCCATTTTATGGCCGTTCAGGGGTGACTCTGCAGTCAATATGGCGTCTGCCCGGGGTATTTGAATGTGGTTTTGAGCCGCATCGTTTTCTGTTCCAGTGTGGGTTTGGTAAAACAACGGAGCAAATGCTAGATGCAGAATGAACCACAGTAAAATCCAGTTGGAAAGTGCCTTGAAAATGAGTTGAAAGTGGATTATTTAGTGTGTGCGATCGCAGCCTCCATCTGATCCTGAACTGAGCAGGGGGTTCAACTAGTTGGCCTATATGGCCCCTCCCAGCTCTAAGATTCTATGATTCTACCCCAACCCTCCAGTACAAATAAGAAAAATTACCTTCTTTCAGTGAATATTACTTGCCTGAACTTGAATTTGCTTGGACCTCCTTTTGTACAATTATATTTTAATTAATCAAGGCTTTCTATTCCTATTGTAAGTTTGGACTTCATTCTACCAACATCTGGCTAACATACAAAATCCATACTGGTGGAATCGAGGAAGTCTCATTTTCTTTCCAAAAATTAGACAATGATTTTAAGTGTCAGACATGACCCTCAAAATACCAAGATTCCATGTGGACCTCTGAAATAGGGGGTTTAACACAATATAAACTAATATGATCTATATACTCAGGGGT